GCTTTCATGGCATGTGGCTCCCCCCCTTCTTCCTGCCACCACCATGGTTTGGGGGCTGCTTCCCTTCCATGGCAGGAGGAGGAGCTGAGCTGCCCCCGTGTTCCTGGCTCCTTCAATCTTGTGTGACCATGCAATGCCTGGACGTTGGCTGTGAGGCTGTTGTGTGTTATATAGCTCAGCTTCTGTTGACAGCAGCTCCTCCTCTCCCTCCTCCTGCCCATGTCATGGGCTGGGGGCTGCTTCTCCTGTGTGGCAGGAGGAGGAGCTAAGCTGCCACTGCTCAATGCCTGGACGTTGTGTGTGATGGCGTTGTGTCTGGGCATTGCGTCCAATGTCTAGGTGTCACACAAGACTTTGTGATGTCATGCATGCTGTCTGGCAAACACCCCACAAACAAATATGTCCCCCCCCAAGGATTCATTACCCCCCCCAAGGATTCATTACCCCAAGGTAACCCCCCCAGCAGTTGGCATGCCTGTGATGAAGTAATATTTTTACAGTAACAAGCATAGCAAGAATTGGGCACAAACAAAGTAATTTAAGTCCAGATGACTGATCCTCTTCACTAGCTGGTGTGATTATTAAAGCAGTAATGATCAGAACAGCAGTGGGAACAAGATAAATTAAACGAACAGAGTGCCAGGTGACCAGCTAATCTTGAATAAACAGAGCACCCACTTCACATTAAAATGGGGCAGCTTTGCTAACAGAATCCTTTGTCCAATGCTTTCAGCCATATTAGAGTTCTGTTGGATGGAAGTAATGGATGGAAGTAGAATGGATGGAAGTAAAAGGTCTGATCAAGCCACATTAACTACACCAAACTTCTAAGATCAGAAATTTTGCTTTGGTGTAGGGGTGACCCAAGGCACGGATATGGAGGCTCAGGGCACAGGGAATTGTGGGGGAGAAAGAGATGGGAAGCTGTACCCTCTGTACTTGAGCACAGGAACTCTTGCTTCAGACTCCTTGCAAGTGAGGATTTACCCCCTCACTATTGTGATGTCAGTAGTTAATAGCTATAGAAAAAGGAACAACCATTCTAGTGATTAAAGGTTTCATAAAATAATTCAGGAACTCCATTTTACTCCCACAATTTCTGTTGCATTTGATACACATAGTCTAAATGATGTAAGGTAAAAAACAGATGGATTAGGGATGGGGAACTTTAGGCAGTCCAAATGTTGCTGGACTGATGGCCATTCACAGTGGGGCTGGCAAGACGTGCCCAACAACTTCTAGAGGACCACTCCCCATCCCTGTGCTAGATTATGTGAGGTGGGAGTAGAAAGTGAGGCTTGATGGTGGATAATAGCAGCTATTCAGATCCTGGTTGTGTTCTGTGAGCTGGAAGCCAAAAAGCTGGTTTGGATGGAAAACAGAGACATAATTGGGGCCTCTGTTTTCCATCTGAACCAGCCTTTTGGCTTCCAAAAACATTTTAGCCTAACTCAGGTAGACTTGGGCTACCCAGACCCTAAAGTAATCTGCAGGTAAAGCTAAGAAACAGAATCGGGGCTGCAATTATCTAGGTCCCCGCCACCACCATCATAATAACTGCCACTACAAGATGGGGAAATGAAAGTCAAAACAGGCAAAAAATGTCTTTGCTTTTTTGTGTGTCCAAGGTGGAGGATGACCAATCAGCATTCTTTGGCCCCTGATCAAACTTTGTCATCACTGGGCTGTTTTTGGAGTTCCCTCAACAATATCTTGTTCTTCTGTAAGCCTCAGGTTATTTCCCAAACTGCTAAAACTTCTCTCCTGTGAGTGTGTGGTGCTTTTTTTGTTACATAAACATCGGCACCCACACCCTGAACACTGGAAATAGAGGAAACGAAAGATTGCAGTCTATTCCTGCATGCATATGTTATCTGAGCCTATGGTTAGGGGGTTGAAAACCTCTCAGAGTCAGGAGTTTCTACCTAGCTAAGTCTTACTTTATGTGCATTAAAATACCCCAACTACTTTAAACCCCTGTGCATTCACCATCCATGTATAAGACAACACCCAATTTTTGACTTTTTTTAAAGCAAAAAACATTGTCTTATACATGGAAAAATAAAGTTAATCACAATTGGACATATTATCATCATGCTGCTTGCCTGCATTTCCCAGAAGCGTGTGAATTTCATGCTAACAGAACGAAGTTCAGTGTTTAATTTGGAGGGTTTAATTTACTGTTTGCACCTCAAACAGTAAATTCCTTGGTAATCAAACAGTAACTTGATTCTAGTTCATTATTTCCTTGATTTTATTATTAGTTTTGTGTTTTAACTACTATAAAATATTGCCATCAGTAGCTTTCAAACAATTTTTACTAAGAATAAATAAATAATTGCAGACATGAAAATAGGTAGACTGTAAATTAATATATTCACAAGGTTTAAGTAAAATAACACCACCACCAAACTGTTGCCACTGGGGCATACAGTCTGAGTTGTAGTCAGGGGGGTGCGGGGGGGGGTGTCCCTTCCGATTAAAATACACATAGGGACATCACATTTTGAGATTGCATTTCAGTGCTAAACAGAGAAAAATAAACAAATTATACATCAGATATACAGATTGTTTAAAGCAGACCTAACAAATCAAAGAAGTCACAGGGATTGGATGCACCCCCCCTTTTTTTTACTGGCCAAGGAAATCAATCTCACAGTCTAATGTATCTCAAAACTCTTAAGAAATACTTAAGAACCACCAAAGAGGACATAATTTTCATCTCAGTGAATAGCAGTAGTTGACTGAAGTCAGCTAAATAACTATGGCAGTGGGCTCAAAGTAAGCCTATGAAAGTTTCCGGATACATGCACCTTAGTAGTCAGAAATAGGGCTGCTGTATTCATTTCAGTGTCAAGAAATGCTTTGCATTTGCTGCAGGTGGTACTGATGCCACGCCGGATTGAGGTTGCTGACTTCAAAAGAGCAAGAATTCCACACACCACCAGTTCCTAACAATGTTGTTCCTGAAAGGTGTTACTTTTACTGCAAAGTTTAATGTATATTGCAGGCCTGGGAGAAAATGGCTTCAAGCTATTTCAATCTAATTTACTCTCAGGGGGCAATTTTTAAATGTATTTTTCATCCTTAAACCTTTATCACTGAGTGCTTTGGGTTGTGCAAAATTTTCAGTTTGTCACTAAAAGATATGTAGCTCTCAAAGTCTCCAGGTCACATATGAAATTAAGAATACTTTCAATCTGAAAGCATAGCTATAAGCAGTAGTATTTGGAAATATGTTATATAAGACACTACTGTTTTTTTCCTTCCACGCCAATGGAAAAAGAGGTTAGCTATTAGCTATAATAACTAGAAGCACTGTCTAGTGAACAGTTTTCCCCAACATGAAAATATGTGCAAGAAAACAAAATAACAAAGAAGAAAAATCAAGCTATCCACATCTAATCTGCAGCAAAGTGACAACTTGGTAAAAATGCCTAATGACAGAGGGCACCATAATTTGGTACTGCAATGAGTGAGGAGCCTCCAAATCCACAGCAATTAATGTTGCGGTTGGGGATGGGATGGTCACACGAGTATTTTCTACACAAAGTGTCTGGGCAAGAATTGGATAGGAAAGACCAGTGTGATTTGCATAACATGAAAATAATGATGGTTTGCACTAGCACAGCTCAGATACAGCTAGGTCAGATTGCTTCGTTGGATAAACATTTCCTTAGATCATACTGGAAGTCCTAAGCAAGAAGGTGAGGGGGTACATGATCCTGAACTGCTGCACATTTCAAGACTGCATGAACCAGCTTTATCTTCATAATGTATGCGGATGGTCTGGACTGATTTCACGATAAACGTTATATTGATCCACATTTTTCCAGAAGGTCAACCAAGCAGTCTTTCTATACTGATCAAGTAGCAAGTGCTTCTAGACATGATTAAATCACACCACGCTAATCATGTGGAGTAAGAAAGTATTTAACTTTGGTCCAATTTTATCATGAATGATATTAAGAAACAGAAAGTGAGTTGGCATATGCCATATTTAACTTACCCAAAGTGAGATTTAAATGACCTAGTAATGTATGTCTTGTATATAAAACAACAACATTTCTGTTTTTTATTTTTACTACCAGTGTTTATATTATAACAGTTACTCAGAACAGTTATTGTTGAAGTGTACTTAGTTATGCACAGAAGAATGGTCTTTGGAAAGAAATAGTGGGAAAGAAATAGTGTGTATGAAGATATATTGAAAAGCAGAATCATCTATCCATATTTTGGGCACATTCCAACCAAAGTGAAGCTCTTTGCAAAGTTCCATTGATTTTAAAAGAAGAGAATTAGTAAACCATGCTCTCATCTCCCCATTGGCATCACTGGGACTTAAAAAGTACATCACTTGGCTAAATTGGCATTTCATCAGCAAACTAAAAATTCCACCTACTAAATTTCAAATTATAATGCAATTTAAATGTCACAACCAAGAAATTCATTGGTTTTCAGTTCTACAATCTCTACTAGTAAAACAAGAAAATAGGGTTACAGTTAAATGGTAAACTTGCCAAAAGAGCTCTTGACTTCATAGAATCATAGAATCATAGAGTTGAAAGAGACCACAAGGGCCATCGAGTCCAACCCCCTGCCAAGCAGGAAACATTGCTTCCAGTGGCAGAAATTATCAAGTGAAAAGCATGTTGCATAATTCAGATGATCCACATGAAAATGTTAAGTTTGAAACTTCAGGAATCATAATTTTATATGAAAATGTAGTTCATTAGGCGGTATCCAAATATTACCAGTTCCAGGAATATAGTTAATGAAAGGAGACTTAAAGTGCCGTATTTTTTGCACCATAACACTCACTTTTTTCCTCCTAGAAAGTAAGGGGAAGTCTGTGCGTGTTATGGAGGGAATGCCTACGGATGGCATGTCTACGGATTTTCCTCCTCTAAAAACTACGTGCGTGTTATGGTCGGGTGCGTGTTATAGAGCGAAAAATACGGTATATGTCTCCTTACATTGTTTTCAGCTTTGAAAGTGCTTTAACTTGAAGATTTACTGAGAGTGCTCGCAGATCGGCGCAGCTTCCCAGAGAGCTTGTTTTTTGTGGCACTTGACAGTGTTGGTGGCATCTGCTCTGCTGGCTCTGTCCCCACAGATGTGGCAAGATCAGCACTCAGACTTGTAGTGAGACAGCCTAAAAATAAGGAAAATCCTATTAGAATCGAAAGGGTTTAAAAAAACAACATATATTTCACTGGTTGAGAACAATGTAAGAAGCATAATCCTTAGAGAAGTCCAAGCAATCCACGTAGAAACCATACAATACTTGCAAATGGCCAACTTATCTTCTTGGGCCTTCCTGCACTCCAGGTTCCAGCTTTTCTCTTTACAAGAAAGGGCAAGGATTTCCCATATCTACAGGACCATGGCACAAGACCAGCCTGCACTGACATTGTCATCAGGATGATGGGGTGCTTGCTGCTATGCTGACACTATAATTACAATCCTCTCCAGAAAATTGGTATGGATTTTGATTGTCTGTATGTGAGAGTATCCAGAAAAGGTGCGTGTAAACAAACACATTTAAGCTGTATCGAAGAAAAAGAAATCGTTTGTTTTGTGTGTGTGCTAACAAAACATTTGTTATTCTTAGATGCAGGTTAAATGCACATTCAGAAATATCACATATAGTCCTTTTAGGATTGTACCACTTCAGAGTGCAGGTGGGGACTGTATGTCTCTATGTCCATTGAATTAAAAACAATGCACATACGTAAGAGTGGAATTCAACATAATGCTAGAGAGATCATTCCATCAGCACAATAATATCTGCTTGCTGAACAGAACAGTCTCCCCTTTCCTCCCCTGCACAATGCTATGGGGGTTCACCTGCCTACCAGAGTGGTTTTGAGGGTGGTGTGCCAGGGGCTTCCTTCATTCTCTTCTTGGAATAGAGGCTTCCTTCTGCAGGCTTCCTTTATTCCCTTCTTATATCAAGCCTGTGGCATGGTTGGCCAAATCCAGTAGCTCTGGCTACTGAAGAGTGCACTGACATTTTGCTGCATACCTTTCATGAGGACTGCAAATCATTGTCAGGGAAGTCCAAAATTTGGCTGTGGCGTTGTAATGATTAAAATGCATCTTGTATTATTTAAACATGCTTACAGTAAGTTGCCAACCATAATAAAGCAGAAAAACTATGGCCAACTTGTGTATTTGGCAACCTACAGCCTTTATGCTTATGAGATATTAATTTTTTTACTACATATAATGCTTTAAAAACACATATCCTTGTAGTAAACCACTTGTTCCTAATATTAACTCTTAACTTTTAAATGTTTAAGCTGTTAGTAAACTAATGAAGCTTTTTGCAGAAGAAATCTAGCCTTGAGAAAGCAGTTCAAGCCCTAGTAACCACAAGGCAACAGCATAGCAGGAAGGATACATTTGTGTGTGTGGTTATGACTGTCTTTTGCTTACAGTGGCTAAAAAGCAAATAAGTGAGGCTTGGGCTAGCGGATGTGAGGTGTGAAGATGCAAGAAATCTGGGCTGTACTACTTTGCAATATTGTGGCATTCTGGATCCTGAGGGATAGGACTTTGCTCCATCCTGTATCTCTATAAAGGTAGTTCTCTCTCCGGGCCAAGTTTGGAGAAGGCTACACAGCAAAACCCAAACAGGCAGCATCTCCTCTCACATCTCACCCTTTTCCTATTTTTCCTTGTGGGCTGGGATTTTTAGTGGAATAGGGTTAGTCTGCTTCGGTAGGATAATTCTTTCATTTCCCTTTCCCCAAGGGTAACCTCCCATCAGACAGAAGATGCCCTAGCTGTGTAAAACTAATTTAGGAAATAAAGCTTTTAAACTTCCATTGTGGGCTGGTTATTTGTCCACATATTCCATTGCAAAGATAGACCCCAGTTGTGGTTGTTCGTTACATTTCCCTGTCAAGAAAGATCCTGGGCTGTGTGTCTCAGGGCCCATCACTGTGGGCACACACAGCAAGGTGGTTGTTTCAAAATTATAATCTAGCTCTAATCCCCAAACTAGGTTGTACTACTGATGTCCCTTGTGCAGAGGCTGTGCTGTTAGATTATTTTTTCTTGTTTTAAAGCCGCTGAAAAAGAACTAGGGTGGGCACCTATATAAAATGTATTGTCTGCTTTAGGCTGCTAACAGGTAGGGTGATGAATTTTTTGCTGCTGTCACATGATGCAATTCCTAGACGATCAGCATGCACACACATCCATATAACAAAGGCAACATAACCAGTGGAAGTGTTTCTGTGAAAAGGTTGGCCATGTCTATGTTATCTTGTATGTCTACACAAGCTGTACACTAATTCTGTTAAAGTAGTAAGCCGATGCCCTTTGAACAGATGCTTTTGCAAGCTGAAATTCAGGAAAATGTAAAAAAAGATACAGATGCCCTGGAGACAGCCACAACATAAGCCTCCTAGCTTTCAGTCTTATTTCAACATTAGAAGTTCAAGGTATCCACTGTATAATTCACATGGTACCCTGACTTGGAATGCAAAACAAGCTCTTTCCACTGACTAATCTTTCAATATGTAAGCAAGTTCAAGTTATGAGACAGTTGAAGACAAATGCAATAATGTAAACTTGTGTTTGAGGCTGGTCGTTCTTTTTCATCCCCTGAATATTCTGAAGTGCCTTCTTCAAGGAATTTAATTAAGACCCCATCCCCAAATCTCCTCCTCACATTTCATTTCAGAATGTTGTGTGACACTCTGATTCCTTGAAGGACTTAAGACAATGTCTGTTTAAAATTACCTGCACGGATTTCACTGCCACTTATGAATTTTAGTCATATAGCCTTTTGGAGGATGACTGCCTGGGAACTTACACAAAATGGCAATATATAAACTTTAAATGTTTTTCATAAGCTCCAAGTCACTCATCCTCCAAAGGCCCATGTGACTTATATTCAGAACTTGCAGTGAAATCCTATGCCTGTTTACTCAGCAGTATATTCCCCCCTGTGCTCAAGAGGGCTTATTCTCTAATAAGTATGTTTAGATTGCAGCCTAAATCTCATCTTATCTCACTGAAAAGAGAAGCAGCATCTTTGCTCAACTCAAAAGCTAGAACACATTTAAGGAGGGTGCATATTATGTACGCAGTAGAGGGTAAGCATGCAACTTCTGTACTTAGTTCCCTGGCACAATTATAATCAATGCTCCAAGGAACATTAAAATGCATGCTGCAATCGAGCACAGTTGTTGCTACTGTGGCTTTGACAAGTCCCAGGAGACTTATGCAAATGCAAATGCCATTTCATCACCTCTCTCCTAGTAAAGAGCTTTTAAACAACGTTGTCCATCTCCTGCAACTCTCTCACATAAATATTTTTATTAATACTGAGTCAAACTCCTATATAGCAATTCCCCTGAGAGTGAAGAGGCAAAGCAAGAATCCCATCAACAGCAGATAACACTTCTGTGTAGGAGCCTAAAAGCCTTCAAACTCCCCACCCCCATTTACAGGAACAGATGACTGCAGCATTATATGTGTTGAAAATTAATGTTTTCAACTTTGTATAATTTTTCATCTTGATGGAATGCCAGGATGATTCACAGCCCAACCACATAGAATCATAGAGTTGGAAGAGACCACAAGGGCCATCGAGTCCAACCCCCTGCCAAGCAGGAAACACCATCAGAGCACTCCTGACATATGGTTGTCAAGCCTCTGCTTAAAGACCTCCAAAGAAGGAGACTCCACCACACTCCTTGGCAGCAAATTCCACTGTCCAACAGCTCTTACTGTCAGGAAGTTCTTCCTAATGTTTAGGTGGAATCTTCTTTCTTGTAGTTTGGATCCATTGCTCCGTGTCCGCTTCTCTGGAGCAGCAGAAAACAACCTTTCTCCCTCCTCTATGTGACATCCTTTTATATATTTGAACATGGCTATCATATCACCCCTTAACCTCCTCTTCTCCAGGCTAAACATGCCCAGCTCCATGATTTGTTTGTGTGACAGCACACTTCCCATGTGCTTTATCATCATGCCAGTTTACTACGAGAGGCAGCTTGGGATGAGATAACAGAAAGATCTTTGGACAGTGGGTCTGCCATAATGGTGTCACACAATTGGGCAACAGTTACAGTAGTGGCTATTTATCATAAGGAAAAATAAAAACAAACATGATATGATTCAACAGTCAGTATACATAGATAGCCAAATATTTCATTTTTTGGGATGAAAACTGTGTCCCAACCAACTGCATACAGATCATATGGAACCTTAAGCATTTTTTAACTCATAGTGAAATATTAAAATGGGCCTGCTCTTAGCTTGGCAATCCCACGGAATGTTTTCCTCACACCATTTCCATATATCTGTTTGCAAGCCAACTGGAAACACTCTCCCTCATGCTGTGGCCCTAGTTAACCTCTTTCCCACCCATGCTGACAGGTAGCTTAAGGCCTGCTCACTGGCTATTTTCCTAGGAGAGGTCCCATGTAAAGTAAGTGCCACTCACACTAAGCTCCAGGCATAGTACTTGTCTAGTACTCCGTTTCAGGGTTTGGTTTCAGGAGACAGAAGGCCAAAACAAAAATGATGGTGATACACAATTAGTAATTGTAGAAATGCTGTTTTAAAAGAAAGTAAATAGTGGGCAGGGCAGAGTGGGAGGGATGCAGATAGGGATGTGATGGAGTTAAAGGGTTAAAAATGGCTGCCAGTGGATCAATGATAAAGCATCCTAGTTTGTGTGCTCAGGTTGGTAAGATTTTAACCAGTCCCCAGGAGCAGAGCCATTCTCAGTCAATGGAAGTGCTGCAGTTTTAACTAGCGAAGACTGGATTCTTGGGATGGATTCCATTTCTAGTCGATTTATTCATGAGTACTGGACCATAAAGAAGGCTGATCGCCGAAGAATTGATGCTTTTGAATTATGGTGCTGGAGGAGACTCTTGAGAGTCCCATGGACTGCAAGAAGATCAAACGTATCCATTCTTAAAGAAATCAGCCCTGAGTGCTCACTGGAAGGACAGATCGTCAAGCTGAGGCTCCAATACTTTGGCCACCTCATAAGAAGAGAAGACTCCTGGAAAAGACCCTGATGTTGGGAAAGATGGAGGGCACAAGGAGAAGGGGACGACAGAGGATGAGATGGTTGGGCAGTGTTCTCGAAGCTACAAACATGAGTCTGACCAACCAAACTGCGGGAGGCAGTGGAAGACAGGAGTGCCTGGCGTGCTCTGGTCCATGGGGTCACGAAGAGTTGGACACGACTAAACGACTAAACAACAACAACAACAAAGCATCACCAAACTACTCAAAAGGTGCCAGAGACAACAGAAAGCATTATCAGGTGCTGCTTTTCTTACCATACTACTCATTGTGAGAAGACAGCCAAAATTCTCCCTTCCGTGCAAAAGCATAGGAACCCAGCCTGTATGCCATCTGCTAGCTGGAATGATGTACTTTCATAGAATGGTTTGTGCCACTGTGACTGTGAATGGGTGCCTAATATTTCCATGGATGCGCCTGTCCCTCTGTCATAGCTTTTCATGCTGTCTACCCTGAGATGACTCTCAATGTTCATTTATCCTACAAAGATGTGCTTACAAGCTGCAACGGGTAATACTATACTACTACTACTACTACTACTACTACTGTTTATACCCCGCTCATTAAAAACTTGCCGATACAGGACTTCCCTTCAGATATCTTCTAAAGGTTATGTAGTTCTTTATCTCCTTGACATATGAAGGGCATTCCACAGGGAGGGTGCCACTACTGAGAAGGCCTTGGTACCAATTCCTTCCCTTTCAAAAACCTTTTCCAGACAATGATCCTTTCCCATGTCCTGCAAGGCAACAAACTGCTAGCCTTTTTCAGTTCGGTGAGTGTGAATTTTGGAGTGTTCAGTATGTTTGGGGGCAAAATGAAAGGAGGCCAATGCCCTGGAGGCATCACACTGAAAACAAGGATTAAAGGCTACTGTAGTATGAAAAGGAGACACTTAACAATGACAGGCAATTCTGTAAGAACAGGGAAAGCTGCCTTACACCAAGTCAGACCAGTCAGTTCACCTAACTCAGTATTGTCTACACTGACTGACTCTCCAAGGTTTCAGATAGGAGTCTTTCCCATCCCTACCTGGAGATGCCAAGGATTGAACTTGTAACCTTCAGCATGCAAAACATTTGCTCCACCACTGTGTGATGCCCCTTCCGAAAAGGAAATAGCACTCTGGAAGGCAAGTAAGTACACTAAGGCCCCAAATTAATGCAAATGTATACCATGGTAGCCTGATGGCCCATGTAGAATACGGAACCTTGAAAATCAAACAGAAAAAAAGAGAAAGTGGGAATGCATGCCACTCTACAAACTTCCTTCTTCAACACTCTACTTTTTTGAGGTGGTGGTGGAAGGTAACCACCCTTATCACTTCATGACAAGAGAGGCAGTGAGTAGAGTTGCCACCTTTGGTCGGGCAAAATAAGGGACGTGGGGAGGAATTGGGGGACTAAAAATTACTTTACCTTGTGCAGAATGAAATCACTTCAAAGCAATCCATTGCGATGGGTTGTTTCCAGTGCTGGTCATACTCATAGGGTAGAGCCAATGACCCAATGCACATTCATTTCAATGAGTCACATGCTCCCCACCTGATGAATGGCCAGCCAAAGAAAGAAAGAGGTGGAGATAGCAACAAATTCTGTTTCTCTTCCTCACAAAGCTTTGTCTCCAATAGGGTTGCCATATTTCAAAAAGTAAAAACCAGGATACCCTGAAAGTTGTTGAACTTTTTTTAGGAAGACCCCAAAATTGTTGAGCTGTAGGCATTCATAGAATCATAGAATTGAGGGTACCTTGAAGGTCATCTAGTCCAACCCCCAGCAATGCAGGAATTTTAACTAATGCATCATTTAAGGCACTCTTATACCACATTAACAGTCATGGAGTCCCCCAAATACCTCCAGTTTGTTTAGAGATATCTCTCTCCCAGAAATATAATCCTTGGAGTCCTCTGGGGAGAAGGACTGCTTGCTATCCCACGGTTCTTTCTCAGGTAGCAAAATGTCTTGGGCTAACCCAACCCTAACAGTCAGGAATGGTTTCCCTGAGCAGATCACCATTTGAAGTTTCAGCATTTGCCTGAAGTCACTAAGTTCTAGCAATTCTGTTGTCTCTGCTCCCTCCCTCTGCATTTGTGATAGAAGGGCTAACCAGGCTGGTCTGCAATACAGGGGTGTAAGAAGTGCTGGAAAAAGGCTGATTTTTGAAAAACCCCACAGCCAATTCTAACAATTGCAGGTGACATGTGCCATCATAAAATATGCATTTAGTTCTGTGTATGGGAAGGGGGAGAAAGTATATTTCAAAAACAATTAGTTGGTAGGACTCCTTACTGAACTCTGCTCTGCCAAACAAGCTGTTTCTCAAGGCTGCTGCTCCACTATTGGCTAGCCTGGAGCATCAATCAGCCAGCTTTGGAGCGTAGGGCGGGCTCAACTTCCTAAGCAGCTAGCAAGTTAAGTTGCGAACAAGGCAAGCAGGTTTGGGTGAGCACACAAACGCCAATTTTTATATCTTCAAAAATGGGACAAATTGGGAGCCAAATGGGGTAGGGGACTCTGCACCCCCAAAACGGGAAAGTTTATTTCATAAGATTTATATACTACTGTACTTACTTTTATTCATCACGTTTTGTAATATCTCGTGGGAGAAACTGACACAAGTCTACTAGCAAGTCAAGAAGAGCCGTTGGCTGTTTGGAGGACAATACATCAGCAGTTCTGTAGTTTTTCTGCAGCTTTTATTTATTTATGAGGCCCACTTCACAGAAGTCAGGTTTGGAACATAGTTTTGCCCCAGGAGCAGCTCATGTTTGGAGCAAGTCATTAAAGGAAAATAAATTCAAGTAGCTTAGGCAATTTTAATATCTTATAACATGGTTCAGCTAAATTTTCACCTAGGAGTTTGTTTCAAACCTTTTAAACATTTGTATACTCATACATTGTACTTAAATAATGAAAGTGAAAAAATTTAAAGCAAGCAAAACATAGGCTGGATATGCAAATAGTTTTGTGCAAAATATGTAGATATTTGTAGAACTGGGGAGGTGCTTTGGTTTTTCCTTGGGGAGAAAAAAAGGGAGGGTGCAGTGTTTTACATTCCTGAAGCCAAGCAGAGTGACAGATGGTCAAAATAGCACAATTTCCCTCAAATGAGTAAGTTCAAGTAACAGTCATGCAATCACACAACAAGAGCACTCCTGTGCATATGAAAAGCTGTACAGTGCAAACAGGCAAGCATGTGCAGGAAAGGGCAGCTGCAACTTGTGATCACTTGCATAACATTCCATCAGCCTTTCAAAGTTGCACATTCCTTCAGTCAAACCTTTCTTCTGCCAATTGCTTAACTATGCAACCAGTCTCATTGCTCCCCTTAAACAGGTCTTGATTGATGGGGAGAAAACAGCTGCACAATGAGCAAATAACTGCAAAAGATAAAGTCTTTTATAAAAATATTATAATCCACCTGCAAGCCATCTGGCACAAATTTGACTTGAGCCTGCTTCTCCCCAGAAGTACGGAACTTCATATTCCAGTTCACTTTAGAGAAAGAAACAGAGCAGCCCCTCAGCCTCAGCAAAATAAACAGTGTATTAACATAAAAGTTACAGTGAGAAAGTGCTCAGTACAAAGCCCATTTATGCCTTCATCTCAATCAACAGAAAGCATCTCTACAATTCTATGCTCCAAAAAGAACACATTGGCAAAAAGGTGTTTTACAACACAGGTCACCCTCTGAGAATAATAAAATGCACAACCTGACTCAAAAACATAGTCCTAGGAAGCAATAGCTGCAGATTTCACGGGAACGACTTCCAAATAATGTGTTTAAGATCAAAGAATAAATGAGTTAAATTTGTATTACTAATGAACACATATTCCCCTCTGATACACAAATGCTTTGCTTCCCTTAGGGATATCAGTTAAGTGCCAAAGCTTACAAAAAGATAATCTAACCCTGAAAAGTGTTTCAGCTGATGTATGATTGCAATGAGGAATCATCCATTAACCTGATGAGCTGGCCGTTTGACAGGTTATTCTGTAAGCCTCCTCATTTATTTGTGAGCTAGCTTTGTAAGAGTTAATTCAGCGCCTCAGCAACCCAGCCAGCCACTGAGCCTATCCAGCCAGCAATGCTCTGCTGCTGGGCAGCTTCCTTCCTTTTCAGCACTGCACTGGAAATTACCCAAACAAGCAGAACCAAGCAGACTGCAAAGGTCACACCTGGCGTGTGGCCAGCTCCGAAACCGCACCCCCAATTGCCAGGTTCAGGGCAGCCTGTGTTTTCCTTCCTTTGTTTCTTTTTTCCTCCCCCAGCTGTTCCATTCATAGGCCCAAGCTCAGCAATCTGCCCTTCCCAGAAAAAGAGCCCCTTATTAAGCTGAGCTAACTCAAAGGGCCAGCACAGCACGTGCCGCTCCTTATCTGCACCATCTCAAGATCCTATTCCATGGTGCTTAGGCAACAAAAAAAGTAAATGGACCTAACTCCCATTGGCTCCCCTGCAGCAATTCAAACAGAAGTGCAAAGCAACAAAGACATTTTCCACCATGGCAGGTGTTGGTGTCAGATTCCGCCTGAAGCAAGCAGGAGCAGAAGGGGGGGGGGGTTTCCAGTGAAGCTTTAGACATGCAGGGGCAAAGAGAGCTGGATATGGGATTCTTCGTATTGCTGCTCGGGGTGGGGGGATATGAAGGGTCCCTTGTTGCTAGAGCAGCACCCAGTGAAAAAGGAAGAGACCAACCCAGATAAATGAGAGATGTTTCAGTTTTATACAAGCAACAGAAAGAATCTGGTTAGTAAATTGAGCATGACGCCATGTGAGCAACCTCTTACCTTTCTCAATTACTGTAATGAGATCTTTACATATTTTAATCTAAAGGGAAAGAACACAAAATCATGTAAATATGGGAATAGAGCACCTGCTGCTCTAATGACAGCCTTGTACACATTACTTAAACAGTTATTAATGGGAAAAAACACAAGTTGTGTGAACTATACTTTCAGCGCCTATCATTTGGAAATGGAACTAATGAACATTAGCACTATTACTGAGTGAGAGGTAGGTGGTAAATTACTTCCATGGACAGATCCCACCACTGCTGGTTGAAAAACAATGAGACAGAAAATTACGATAGGAGAAATCAAAAAAGCCATCCCCTTCCTTCACAATGTATATATTATTTGCATATTACTGTACCATATAAATTATATTACAAAAATCTTCCATCATTTGACACTAATCAATTTTACATCCTCTATCAGCTTGAGTCTTTGCCAGGCAGCTATAAGGAACTTCATGCTAAATAGTCTAGTTATCAAACACAGACTTACATTTCAAGGAAAAACTATACATAGAATCATTAGCTTTCCATTTTCATACAATTCCAAAAACAGAGTAAAAAGTATTTTATGTACCAGCATACACAGCCTCATTTATGTGCAAAATTGTAGCAATTTCCTAATTTTGTGCTTTCAAGGGTTAAGGATGTGTTTGATTGGTGAGATGCTGACTAGGCAATGACAAATTCTGTTTGATTTCATTATATCCAGGATCCTCATCTTATTGGGCCACAGACCAACCAGTTAAATTTGGCAACTAGGGAGAAACAGCATTCAAAAAAGTCATATATTTCATCCACAAAGCTTTTGTTTAACCCAAATACTTGCCTCTAGAGATTTGTGATGGGATTTTTGCTCTCAACACAAACCAGTATGTAAAGATGAATAAGCCCATGGGTCAGTTCATAACTGCTTTTTCCTAATCTTGATTTTAATTTGTTTTAGAATACATGATTGTAAGATGCACCAAGTATATCTTCTGTTGGAGCCAGAAGTTGGGGCATAAAGCAGGGGGAGGGGGTAAAAAAGGAAATAGAAAAGTAGGCAAAAATAACAACACAAAAGTAGCATAACCTCTTCCACTATAGATAAACTGATTGGGCAGCTGCCACCTGTAATTGCACTTAACTCTCTATAAAAAGGAGCTTTCTATTGGAAAACTAAGACACTGACAACTTTCTACACTCTACCTGCTGGAAGCACTTTGAGGAATTAAAAAAACAAACTAGTTTGTTTTTTTAATACCCCGCCCAACTGGCTGGGTATCCCCAGCCACTCTTGGGTGATTTCCAACACATATAAAAACATAATAAAACATCAAACATTAATAGTAACAATCTGATCTAATATAAAAAGTCACAACTTTAAAATAAACAGCATATTAAACAATGCAACATTCAACAATCCATAAGAATCTAATAGTAAACAGTAAAATTAAGCATCACCAAATAATAATTAAACAGTTTACACTCGCCCCCTCCACTATGTTTTGGTGGATTTTCTGAGGGCAGGAGGTGCACGTGGGGAGGATTAGGAGGGGGAAACACCATTGCTGACAGGACTGGTTAGGTGAAACACAACCCGTATTTTTAATGTTTCTATAAACTGTCCAAAGAACTTATGGGTGGTATTGTTGGTATCCATTTGTCTCAAGAGACAATGGAGTGTGCCTCTGGGGGTGAAGTCAAAGTGACCTCCCTGGGGCGCAAGCCTGGGCAGTGTGTATGGAGGTCCTGGGCTGCCCAGGAAAGCAGAGCAATATGTTTGGCACCAGCTTGGCTGCTGAAATTGCCAGAAGAAGGCATACAAGGCACCACCCAAACATCTTAGGGACTCTACTCCCAATTTATGTAGGGTTTACTCCTTAGCCTTTTCTCCCCCCAAAGATATCCCACAAGGCAGCAGAGGTTTAGGGTCAGAGTTTTCCTTCTCCTAGATTTGGCTCCCTTCCCAGGTTGATGAGCCCATCTGCCCCTCACTTCTCTCTACAGTATGTGCAGAAGCCACCTTCTTGAACATTGGACCCACTATTGGCCTTCTCCCCTGACTCTACTGGAGCCTGTCTTCACATGCAGGGTAAATCCCTAACTCATGGAGGGTTTGAGACCCATCAGCTACCCTCACTTGGTTTAGCCAGCCAGCCAAAGCTGTTTCCCAGGGTGTGGCTGCTGTCACATGCTGACAGCTTCTAGGAACCACAGATGAGAATGGAGTACAGGGTGGGGACTAAAGGTGGATAAACTACCCCAGAAGGAGCACGAAGTATTCCCCACCAGAGGAACTACCCCTCCCCTAACACTCCATACACCCCTTGGATGGCATACAAATGGAATAAATAAACAAAATAATAAACACCCCTTCATTCCATGGCACAGGGACATAGATCATATTATGGAATCATGGTACTAGAATGAATAAAGCACTAAGAAAAGTGCAGGGTTTTTATTGCTGGGAAAGACCCAAATACATTTTTTCCTCTTTGAGCAGCTGCTTCTTGGTCCTTTAGAAGTCATAATTCTGTTTGTAATCAGTCTGTTGCCATAGAAATGAATGTGATAACATACATCCAGCTTTATGGACCTAGAAGATGGATAAGAATTACCATGGGGAGGTGATAGTATCTGATTGAACAGAATCAATTGAACTGGAGGAAAACAACTTTGCCTTTTATCTGGTTAAGTAAATATATTTTCTCCACTGAACCACTGAATTTGCTCCTACATATACAATAGGCAAAGAGTCTATTGTGTATTTGTGTAGCTTTTTCAAAAGATGCAACCAGTA